TCAAAAGTTTATATAATGTAATTTCAAATCTAAAGCAAGAAGTAATAGTAATAGAGTTCACACCTCGTGTACGCAACGTTTTGTTTCTTATTGTTTTACTACCATTGACTGAAACAAACTCGATGTACGAATGAATTTGTAGTGCATGTGCTATGCATGAATCACATGCAAATATAATATATTTACTATAAAATATTGCCACGATTGAAGATCCTCCGATCAGTATCCAATCACGGTGGATGAAGGACAGATTTGAAAGTTAATCTCTGTCAAGTTTTTTGCAAAAAAGAATGATATAAAAAGACTTCCGAGTCATCTTCTCCACGCGGAGTCTGCCTTGAACATGAAACCTGAGTGAGCTGTAAATCGAGCCTAAATTTGTGAACTTGGACTTGAGTATGGCAATTTAGTTTTTATAAACAGAATTAAAAAATTATTTAAACTTGACTTATTAAAAATTCGAGCAGAACTCGAATAGTTTGATTATTTTACATATAACTAAACAGAATTTTGGGAGATTGAATTATTTAAACTTAGCTCGTTTACAACATGAATCGAATTTGAGTCGAATTTTATCTGAGTTAAGCTCTCGTAGCTCATTTCGATTAACACTCTTAAATTTGACCATCAATATTGACACGTTGCAGATAGCACTTGGCTAGACATGCTGTGTATTAGCCAACCAAATGCATAGTAATTCTTCTTTTCTTATTGTAGAGAAGAAAACGATACTCATTTCATTAATATGGAGGAATTACTTCTTTTTGGAGGAACGAATGCTTAGAAACTCTTGGATGAACGAACTCCATTGTCTTTGTTTTAACGGAATCCACTCATTAGGGCTCATGTTCATTTGGGATTCATTGGATCTCCAATTTGGAATCCACATCATCTTTCTAATATGGCCTTTGTTTATTCAAATTGAAGGACTTTTTGTATTCGGAGATTTTAGGGATTTTCTTATGATTAATTTAGCAATTTAGATATTGAAATAATGTATCAGGGTTAAGTTTCAAATCAATAATAATAATAAAAAAATGACAAAGCGAGAATCATGTACATTGGATGAACCAAGTATTAAGTTTTTAGGTTTTTTTCCCAACAAATTAAGATACCGTTTGGTAATGGTATGTTTATGTTTTTTTTTTTTCACTTTTTGCCAAAAAAAAAAAACGATAACATGTTTAGAGAGTGTTTTTTTTTTTTTGACTGGTTTGTTTTGTAAACAATCCTAAATTTTATAAATATGAAAATAAGTGTTTTTAAAAACATGCGAAAATGCAAACACGCATATCCCTTGGAACTAATTAATGAGGTCTACCTTTCGAATCCCATTAGTAGCAAAAAGGGGTTTTTTATTCCAGCTATAAAAGCATTATTTATCCCTTTTAACCTCCTCCTTCTCTCTCTCTCTCTCTGGTTCATCGCTCTCATTCTCTCACGGCACCAACGACGAAAGAGCTCTCAGATCTCACAAGCCAACACTCCATCTTCATCAATATCTCTTTCAAGGTCAGATTTCACTCTTTCTCTTTGTAACTCCTCTTTATGGAATCAAATTTTTAAATTTGCGTTTGTTATATACATATAGTACATGCGTAGATATGTATATGAGTGTATATTTAGCCCTAGATCTATTATATTTGGTTGGATTTGGGTGTGAATGGATGTGTGTGTTTTTGTCAGTGTGTATAGAACCGGGTTTTCATCTTTACTCTGTGTGTGTGTGTATATATATATATATATATATATATGTATAATTTGTATATATATGTATAGAACTCTGTGTGTGTATCTATATATAATCTGTATATATATGTATTGAAACGTGTCTATATATATATATATATAGATTGTGTTTTCTCTATATAATCTATATAAATATGTTTTTAAACATGTCTATACATATATATAGAGATTGTGTTTATATATATACACACTTGTGTGTGTGTGTGTGTATTTATAGATTTATCAATCAAAATTTTCTTGTTATTTGATAGATCTGCATATATGCATATTCAGCATATATGGCAGTGTGAGAGGCATGGGTGCAGTGAAGAAACTATTGAAGGAAATGGGAATTGAATAGAAAGGATAAGAGGTAGAGGAAAGAGTGGTTTATGTGGATGACATTGTTGTAACAAGACAAATTGTGCAATGAATTCAAGACAAATTTGTGTTTAAATATTAATCAAAATAACACAAATTAAATATTATCCAAAATATATAATGTCAAACATGTTTTTTTGTTTTTGTTTGTATAATTTTTTAAATATAAAAAATTATCAAACATGTTTTATAATTTTAATTTTTATTATAAAAAAACATATAAAAACAAAAATATTACCAAACGCACCATTAGTTTTTAAATTAAGTTTAATTTTAGATGTAAATTATTCGTGAGAAATCATATATGAGAATCTCATATTGTATAAGAAATGAATTGAAATTGTGATAAAGTACCGCAAATAGATTTATTAGACATGTGATAAGATTCTTAGATATTGAACAACTAGTTATTATTTGTGCTGAAGGCACATAATACTAAAAAAATGATAAACAATAAATATATTTATATTTATATGTTTATAAATACCAATATGAACATAAATAGTCGTGGAGACGGTGGTGGCGTCGAGGGCGAGGGAGGTGGGGGTGGCGGGGGCAGGGGAGGTGGGTGAGGGCGGTGGTAGAGAAGGCGGGTGGCGGTGGTGGCGGTGGCAGCAGTGGTAGTGGTGGCAGTGATGGCGGTGGTAGAGGTAATGGCGGGGTAGTTTCGAATACTATTTTTTTTTAAAAGTATTTATAAGAAATAATTTCTAAAAGTACTCTTAAAAAGTTATTTCAAACACACTCTTCCGCTCATATTTTTCCTATTAAATTTAGGGTGTTGATATTAGCCGTTAGATCAACTTTAAAATAAAATTTAAAACGATCTCAACTGTAAATAGGAAAAATTATTTTGTTTATTTTTTAAAATTTGAATCGTAAATTACTTTATTATATAGATATAAGCATAAGTGATTATATTTATGTTTATCTTATTAGTTACTCACTCTTTATGATCATATATTATATAATCAATTATCAGATAATCGAATGCTAGATAAACTTAAAAATTATACTTAATAATCTCAACTATTAAATAAGTGATGGATTTCAATATTTATTGGGACTCACAGTGAAATCAATTATTGAGATTATTATCAAGTCTACTTTTTAAGTTGATGTTACATTACTCAATTTTATAATATTACAAATTTTTCCATGAAAAAATGCTATTAACTATTTTTTACCCTATCTTTCTCCCTTTCTTTCTACGGTTTTTTGCCTTTATCCCTCAGAGAGACCTCTCTCTCTCGCTCTCTCTCTCTCTCCCTTTCCTTCCTACTATTTTTTGCCTTTATCCCTCACAGAGACATCTCTCTCTGTCTCTCGCTCTCTCTCCCTTTACTTCCTACTATTTTCTGCCTTTATCACTCACAGAGACACCTCTCTCTCTCTCTCTCTCTCGACACACATGCATACGAAATATAAGAAAAATGAAATTGAATGTACATGCAGAAGTATGAGACATACAAATTGATACTCAAATTTCCATTCCTATTTGTCATATATTCTTTCTTTTCGTATCTTTGTCCCTTACACTTCTCTCTCTCTCTCACAAACACACACTCTCTCACGCGTAAAAAGGGTATACCGCTTGTCCAGAACCATCAAAACACCATCCCTCTGTTCAGGACCATAACATGTTGGCACCACCACCATCAAACCAAATGAGCCACAGATTTTAAATTGAATAACCAATTTTTTTACCCAATTCAACTAAAATTTGAAAAGAAAAGCTGCCAAATTTAACTACAAAACAAAAAACCAAATTCAACCCAATTTATGGAAAAAAAAATCTAATTTTTCCATCCGATTGATCCTCCAAAAATATTAGCTTCCACTTCACAAGAATCGAAACCAAAGCTGTCAATAGAGTATCGAAATCGTAGCGTTGTTGCTTCCATTATTTGGAACAACTTTTTTTTTCCCATGATTCATCCCCTCAGGCCTTCCAATAGATCTTCAAACTGTATGTGACTCTTTACAGAAGATTGAAGTCGCCGATTTTGTGAGGAGAGAGGAGTTCCTCTTTAGTATTGTTACAGGTGATGGTGTCGGCGTCGGTAAAGAGGAGAAACCCTAATCATGGAGTTGACTCCATCACTGATTGAAGCATTGTACTTTAAAAGTAATATCAGATCTAACGGTTACACTAGATTAATATTGTCACGTAGTATAGTAATCAAATGATAATAAATAAACAAATAAATAAGTGAACTCTACTTTTTAAAAATGTGAGAATTATTATCAGCCTATTTATTTAATTATCATTGCACAATTACATGTAGTGTACACAAGGCTAGTCCCGTAATTACAGGGTTTAGTGATAGCTAGATTTAAGCAATTTAATCTTTGTAAGCAGAGAAATTGTTTTCTCTTTTTCAAACATGTGATCTTAAGATCACAATAGAATAATCTAACCGTTATGCCCGTAATAGGATCCTCAAACTAAATCCTCGTATTTGATATCAATAGCATTACACATTTATAAAACTATTTACTTGAGAATTTTTGTATCCAAATGAATTGAATCAGAAGTTCTGACTGTCAGTAAACATGGGAAAGAATCTAACGTAGGCAACACCAACTTTGTGCATAACCAATAACATGGAATCCTTGTTCTTACCTGGTTGATTCTTTCTTAGCACAACATGGAATCTTTGTTCTTACCACATTGATTCTTTCTTAGCACAAACTCTCTCTCTCTCCCTAGCCAAGAATATTCATGTAAGTGCAAGCAAACATAAAAGAGGGTGAACCACAAGATCTTTCCACACTTATTTATTTTATTGTGGTGCATTCTACATTCTTGGATAAGGTTCTTTTAATCTCTTAGACACAATTTATACATCTAACACAAAACACGCCATATATGGGCATTACAGCATCAATTATTCGAAAAAACTTATATCGTCATCGTTGTAAAACATGTATGGAGACATAAACCCTCCCTCTGTCGATGGTGGTGAGTAATACTGTTGGTCGTAGAACGTGTCTACCAAAAAGGGTTCACTCCAGAAATTTCCAAGTGACTCGGCGAAATATTCCAGTGAATTGAAGGAAATCATTTCTTCAGCCGGCCAATCGATGCTTCTTAAGTTTGTGGACATAGAACTTAAGGAAATATCACTGGGAAATGCTTTAGGGTACGATAGGGTGCTTTCCAAAGTCTGGTGAGATGTGGTATCAGCGACAACATTTTCGAGTTCTGATTCTCTCGCCTTTTTACGTTCACTCAGTGAAGTTTCATTAAATTTCTCATTTTGATTTGGTTTAGGTTGGAAAGATACACTTGATTCAACAGTCACTTTAGATATTGGATTTAGTTTCACACGTCTCTTAAGACGAGTGTGCCAGTAGTTTTTTATATCATTGTCTGTTCTTCCGGTAAATGTGCAGCAATGACTGACCATCTGTAATTGAGAAAAATATAAAATGTTAGAAACATGAAGTCACCCTATATCATTAAGTACACAATCAAAACCATTAAGTTAACAATCACAAGAGAAACTACATTCATAATCACAATTATTATTCGTTCTAACATTCGCGTTTGCGCCTATTTATTACAGGGTTTGGTCTGGATTCTTGCCCACACCAGCATTCTTCTGTCAAATATAACTCAAAAGTCTTGTTAAATTGTTGTAGTTATGGGTTGTGTTTTATTTCTAATCTCTCGGGCTGTGAGATGATTGTGTTATTAGTGAACTAGGTAAGTTTTTGTGTGTTGAACAATTCTTTAAACTTTTAAGATTGTTTGTTGTTCTCTTTCTGGACTTGTTTTGATCTTTATTGTAACATCCTCTTTTTTAGAAATAAAACTTATTTACTTACCAACACAAATAAGTTTGCTTATTTTGCTTCCTAAGTAAGACCTTTTCTATTAAAGGGGTCAGGTTTATGTCCCCCAGTTTCTTTGTAATTTCAAATCATAAATAAAACTTGCCCCGATGTGGGTTAATCTTGGTTCAATGATGAAATCAAATGTTAATTGCCTGATAAGAAAAATATATTGTTCTAAATTAGGGTAGAAGTCAGAAGATTTTACTCCGTACTTGTTTCCATGTTTGTGATGTAATTTCATGATCATATCTTCCTCTTCTTCGCTGTAGTTCCCGGTTTTCAGGTTAGGTCGCAGGTAATTCATCCACCTTAATCTGCAACTCTTCCCACATCGAGAAAGACCTTCAAAATATGCCACCAAATCAGGTTCTATCTTTTGGAACTGAAATTTATTTAACTACCGAAGGAAAAAAATAATATCAGGTTCCATCTAAATGAAGAACAGTACTAAATATCTAAACCCTACCTTCAGTTTTCATTTTGCATCTGTTCTTGAGTTTTCACAAAAGATAATAATAGCCACTAAAGTGAAGTGAAATCGTTTCTGTTGGACGTCAATTAGTTTCCTTGAAAATCAAAAGCTGCTCCCAAGAGGGACATTATTCAAAATTGGAAGACATCAGTTTTTGCAGAGTAATTAGCTGAATGGTTAGCTTTTAAACTTGTGATGACAATTCACTGTTCCAAGGAGAAATCTGTTGTTGTAGTGGAACAATAACCGGCACTTCTACTAGATCTTTCTCTTTCCTCTATGGTTTATATATGTCAACGATACTATTGAAATATAATTTATTGACCTAATTTATTTTGACTTTTGATTGACTGTGAGTTCCATTAAACATTGAAATTTGGTGTTAATCCAATGATTCTAATGAAACAACGTCATTAGGTCAACAAATTATGTCAAATTTTTAAATTTAAATAACGTTTTTTATGGCTACAATAACAACTTGTGTTCATTGGTTTTATGTACTTTAAGGCAAATAATATGAATTTCCGTGGAGGATCTGAGAAGATATCATTCCCATTAACAGCAATGCTTTACTTTCATGGCTATCTGCTTAGTGAGTACCCACTAGAAAAACATAATTAAGAGAGAGAAAGAGGAAGACGAAGAGGAAGAAGAAAAAGATTGTACCTGCATATTTGGGGAGTTGACGCCAGTTCCAATGGCCATATTTTTGGATATAAGCTCTCAGCTTATTATCTTCATCATCACTCCATAAACCTCTCTTCAATCCATTCTTGTCAAAGAAAGGACTTCTCACCATTTTCTGTGTATCCTTCCTTGATCTATTCTTCACTTACAAACTCACTAAATGCTCGAAGAAAAACTCGTATAGAGCTCAGTCCTATATATACTACTATATGTCCTGACAAACGTGGGTCCCTGTGAGAAGGTGCCACGAACCTGGCTTCAACTTTCTTCTTTTTCTACTTAAAAAAAGTGTGGGACAAAAGGATAGCGCCAGAGATCATTGCAATTGGCTTTGAATCGCGAGATTTTTGATCATATCCGTTATACCTCTCATGAGCAAATCTAACTAAGTCAGCATAGCGTGCAATCACTAATTTCTAATATTAATTCTAAAACTTAAACTTTTAATTTTAAAATAAAAAATTTGGCTAATATCCCAATAGACCATTCCACTCGATGATTTCAATGAGGCAGAAGGAACGAGGAGAGTTCCTTCATGTTCAAGTGTCACACGAAATCAAGAAAAGAGGGCAGGAGTTCAGTGAATGGGATCTTATTAAATATGAATGTAATTTTTGAATAGATAAGCCTCTGCATAAATGTATTCATACTCATATGGAGGATATGGGAGGTTGACTTGCGACAATTTGATTTAAAACGTCGTCTTTAAATAATGTCTTTTTATTTTTGAATATTAAGTATTTATTCTTCTCTGCAGTTAATTCTTCTATTTTGTATAACGTAACATCTTTTAAAATTGTTAGTTGTAAAATAAATTTAAACCAAAACTTTTATATTTTAAGATATATTGTAGTCCAAGGTAATATGGTTTAAACTATCATTATCTACAAATTTCAATTTTTGAGCCAAATAAAAAACTAAAAATATTTCTGTATGTTTGGAATTTTCCAAACCTACTGCAAACGGTGTACAGAATCGTGTTTATGTAATCATTATTCAAATTCACAAAAAATCTTTGAAATTCACTTATGTGTAATTGATGGGTAAAACGTAGGGAATGATTTGATCGTTTGATAATGAATCTGTAATCACGAACTTAAAATATTTTTTTCCTAAACTTAAATCATTATAAGGCTCTGTGTTGTGGTGCTGGTTTTGTTAGTAGCACCTAAATATATTGTTTTTGTTATAAAAAACCACAAGAACTCCCCTAAAAGGTTACCTAAGAAGGTGTCATTTGGATTCATTGTTTCTGCTTCTATATGGAAAATCTTCATATAAACTTTTGATATTAGATATAACGCATGCCAATATGGATTGTCGTAATCTCCCCTCGCTTATTCATTCATGTCCCTGCGAGGTACATATAATCAATCACAGATACCACAATCGACTCGCGGTCAGCCTCGATTAACACTAACCTAGTATTTTAGTGCCTTTGAACCCACATGGTCATGTGCACAAATTGACTCTAATACCATATTTAATAATTACATGAATTCTCTCAAAATGGCTAGCTAAGAGCAACTCCAACCCACACTCTATTTCCTATTTTTTTTAGCTATTTTTGCTAGGTCATTTAGTCTCTCCAAATTCCCTCTCTATCTCTTTTTCTTTCAATCTGCCTATATATATGTTGTAATTCTCTTTAAATTATTAGAAATTAGTGAAATTTGGGTGAAGTAGTTAGTTAAAATAAAGAGTTTGATTGGAACAATCTTTTAAAAAGTTGTCTAATATTCAGATCATTACATATTATTATATTAAAGACTACGTCTGGCGCCGCCCTTGATTTGTCTTAACGTCTTTGAATATTAAAATGTCCTGCAGGTCTAATTTAGTGGCCAAACTTGAATAAGTATTAGCAATGACGTTTTCATTATAAAATTAATTTGAGAGGTGAGGGGTCTTTGATTTTACATTTGTAGGGGACAGAGCTGTCTCTTTCATGGTAGCTAATCTTTGTATAGCTCATAAGATCTGCCAAAGACTCACAATTAGGATTGAAAATTTTCAACACGGCGTATCTAACTATATATAATCAATTGGTACAAAATAATTGGGAACATTACCAAATTGAACAGACAGTCTATTTAATACATGGATTGATACTAACACAATTATACACTATATGAACCCTTATATATAATATGTATGCATGACCCAAATTGATAGACTACAAAATCGGCTTATATACTAATCAGATATGAATTGAGCAAATTCTGCATCATAAAATTTAAATAGACACGAAATCAATCAAACACGACCACAATCCAATCCACCCAAGTCATGACCCCATGGCACATAGAGTGCTTTGTATAGAAACAATGACCAGATAATAATACAGTGATATAACGTTTTAGTTCGTGGACATAGGCAAAATGCGGAGAACCATAATATTTTTTGTATTTTATTTTTCCTATTCTCATTTTTTAAACGAAATAACTGTTGATTTGTTGATTTATACCTCTCTCGACCTAAATCTTAGATTCTGTCCTGAACCAAGAGTAAATTGTTAAGAAATTGAGCCTAGTGGATTTGCACCTTTAAACATTAGTTTAATCTCACCAATTAATGCATAGTGTTTTTTTTTTTTTGGGTTAACGAAAAAAATCTCAAGTTTGTCTTCAGCGAATAGAGATGAATTTATGTCGCTCAGACTTTTGAGTCCGAATAGAACCGAGGACAAACCTTGCATGCATAAACTAGTCCCTCAAATGTTGCACCACTTAGATCAAAATTTGTACTTCGGCAGAGATTCGAACTCATAGCAGAAACTTGAATAAGGTTCATTTAAACAACTAAAATTTGTCTTACTAACCAACCATGTTTTTTGTCGCCTAGGGACTTGAAGCCCATGATCTCAAAAATACAAAGATTTCACAAGACAATGAATACTATTAGGCCAAATGTCGATCAACTACCAATGCATAGTTGTCAATTACGCAAGTTTTTTTTTCTCCAATCTCTTCCTCTTAAAAATAGATGTAATTGAGTTTAATCACCAATGGAGTATACATATATATAAATTTATATTTTCACTATTTTTTAATGGATTTATTGTACAACTTTCTTGTTTTAAATTTTTATTATTTTAAATTAATAAATACAAATTATTCAAATTAAAATTTCATTTTGACACGGTACAGTAGCCTCATCCCAACAGTTGGGATTAATGGAGATGTAATTAATGCAAAATAAATGATATCACTTTCGTGGTGGGCTGCTGACGAGAACAGGCTGACATAAGCATTTTTTATATAAACGTGGTATAAATTGTAGACGATAAACGTTTGACTTAAGAACACGATTTTTTTGTTTTTTTTTTGGTATCGAATATTCACTTTTTTATCCCCTAAAAATTTGTAAAGTGTAAAATTTTATTAGTTTTATTATTTTATTAATCAATAATTGTTTATCATCCAAAATAGAGTCAACGGTCAGATGCATTTTTGTACGATATAGACTAATATATTGTCACATATAAAATTTAATTCTTAATTTTATTGTTTTTTTTACTAACAATGGCTGTCAATAATTTAAAATAAGATTTTCAATCAAGGATAATATTTCAAAATAATACTGAAATGTGAAATCTTCGTACCATATACTTATTCTTAAAGAAACCATTTGGTCCGCTGTATAATATTGAATTGAATAAACAGTTACTATCTTATTCAGCCTTTTAAAAGAGGATAAGAAGGATGGGTTAGAGAGGATGGGATTAGGTTGATGTCAAACTTAGTGTTTGGTTTGCACAAAATAAAAAGTTGGAGCAGTTTTCTTTTGTCTAAAAGACCCTGTTTTTTCTAATATAAACACTGGCTTCGTTTAGTTTCCGTATTAAAAATAAATAGATTAAATAGAGTAATTCAGTCTAATATAATACAGAAGGACAAAAGATAATATTAAATAGGGTATTATAATTATACATAATTTTATCTAGTGTTTTGCAACACACACATAAACGTTGGATATTGTTTAGTTAGGAAATTATTTCATTGTATTAATGTTGAATTGACAAAAATATCTTCAATCAACATTTGTTACAATGATGACAGTTTAATGTTATTAGTTAGGCGTTATAATAGTAAATGTATAAAATAATATGTTTGAGTTGAATTATAACAGCACCTCTATTGGTAGTATTGAAATACTTATATTTCTATAATATAGGTCTATCGTACAAAATTTTATGATAAGTATATGATTATTATACATTTTTGAAATTAATACAGTATCAAATTTATTTACCAAACAAAGTATTAGGCCCGATTAAATAAAAAATAGTACAATCTAATATTTAATCCCCTCATAATATGTCTATCAAACTAGTCAAATATGTATACAATCCATTTGTATTAACCGAAAACGAATCATACACATTATGAGCCTATTTACAATAGTATCCAAGGCACATATATTGGATGGTTCTTATTACAATTTCACATCGATTAAAAACAAGATTAGATATGTGTATATGAACTATTGAATACTTTTTTCTTGCAAATCAATTTTTAGAAACAAGTTCTACTCATGGATTTCTAACAATTGATATTAGAGCTAGTTACCACGTCATGTATGAGATCGGAAGTAGGCTTTTTGTAGTCAAGTCACCGAAGGGCCAACCTACAAATTGTATTAAAATGATTTGGTATTATGTATAAACTGGTGCTATTTTATTGAATATTGATATGTGAGTAGGGATGTCAATGGACCGAAGCGGGGGCAGGAGGTATAGTCTTCATCCCCGTACCCGCTTAAAAAACATTCGTCCATCCCAGATCCACCCCGCTAACGGGTATAGTTTTCATCCCCATCCCCGTCCGCGGGTAAATTTATAATCCCCGTTCCCGTCTCCGCTTCCCCGTACCCGCCCAAGCACAAGCAAAATCATAAGAATTAAAATAGCTTAATTTTTATTTTTGCTATGATCGGAATAGAAGATGCAATAATATAAAAAGTGTCCCTTCTCTTCTTTGCACTCAATTATGTTGAAACAAGGGAAATTATTCTAAGAGATAATTAGCTACAACTCCATGGAAATTGTTGTGGTCTGTTTCAACAAGGCCATGACCTGCATAATGTTCCAAAAATATTTACTAAAATGAC